GCTTCTAACCACATTCTGTACAGTATCTCTTGACACCTCCAGGTAGACTTTCTAGATATAGTGTTCTGTCCACATCCTACATGATGCAGTCTGTGCAACTCCTTGACCTCATCTCAGCCCGCACAGCACATCTCCGTAATAGCTTTCTCTACTTTCAGCCAACTGTTTTTCACTCTGGTTAGAGCATCAGACTTATTTCTGTCAGAGGGCACGAACGTTACACTCAATTTTAAGTTAAATTCATCAATCATTTCCCTCAGAATCCCCAAATGTCGCATGATAAGTAGCCCTGCTGCTCCTTTTGTACGGATCCTTTTTTCGTCCGTTATCATAAGACTGATCCAACTGCGGACAGTAGCCGAATGAGTTCAGATCTTGATCTCTTTTAGACCCCATTTCAACGCGAGGTTTACACCCTTTACCGTAGCATCCAACTCAGCAACGTTGATATGGTTGTAGTCACGTTTCTGTCTTAACCACGCCGCATCATCGACTATCACACCATTGATCTCAATACATACACCAGTGGTCATACTGTTTGCATCACACCATACAATGCCCTTTTCCAATTTGGGAACATGCAATCTCCCTCGAACTGGATCGTGATGTTGAACCATTTCCACAACTTCCCATACTACACCGGTTGTTTCACTATCCACTATGTCTTCCCAATCGATTTCTTCTGCTCTTCTCTTCAAATAACTGCAGGCAATTCTAAGCCATCCAGCTATTGGGTAGTGGCCCACTATTTTTCCGCAGACAGAAAACAGTTCACGCTTGCTCATTTCCTCATGCATCTCAGGCAGGTAATTCCCTCTCACAAATACCAGATTTCCTGCTTTATCCATATGAAGCCGAAGACCCAATGCTGCTTCTCCTTCTAATGATTCTTGTGACTTTACTGTTAAGCCAAAGTTGTTAAGATGATTTACAAGGTCTGCCGATGGTACCGCTGTTTCATCCACCAGTATATCGTCAATATACGAAATTGTGTTTTTATGATATGTTCCCCTTTTTTTTAGTACAGTTTTTAGGATTTTTGACAATCTTCGGGGGCTACATTTAATCCAAACCCCAACCTAGTTAAACAATAGGGCTAACAGGTACCTCCACAGATGTCTTGCGACATGCATTTGCAAATATGCGAACCTTAGATCAACAATCTTAGATGCCGTTGTCATTTGCCTCCACTCTCTCATTGTTTCTCCACAAACGTCAATTGCATCCCCACCAGAATGATGCATAATGTATTTATTTAGTTCTTGGTAATCGAGAACTGGCCTGATCTTGTTTTTTGTGGGTTGTTCCACCGCCATTAAGAGTAGCACTCCCATCTGAACATCCTGGTCCCATGGAGTTAAGATTCCTTCCTCAATCAACCATTTAACTTCACTATCAAACTCGACCTTCTTCTCCTTACTCAGTTTAGCATGATAATGATTAACATTGTTTTTTAATATTGGGGGATCTGAAATCCATTTCCATTCCACTTCTCTACATCAAATCTTGCTTCAAAGTCATTATCTACCACTTCGCATTGATTTTTTTTTTTGCTATTCTTGCTGTTTGGTTGTATATTCATAGCACAATCTCCTCCTCTGAACTCCACGTTACCATTTTCATAGACGGTAACCCCTCCAAGCTGGCGGATAACATCCATGCCCACAATGACGTCAACACCGTCGATGATCTTTTCCATCACAATTTCCTCGATTCTCAGTAACCGTCCACATACCTCCAACGTCACTGCGCTGATCCCTCTGCACACAACCTCCCGTCCATCCACTGCTCTTACAGTACTTGAACTACTACAATCAGCCAAAAGACCCAACCAGATTAATGTTGCGGTGCAGCCAGTATCAATCAGGGCCTTTGCTCTCCTGCCTTCTATTAGCGCTTCTATTGTTGGTAGTGTTCTGGTTTGCACCATTGCCAATTTGAAGGGGCTAACCGCCGATGCAACAGTTGCCCCGTTCTTTTCCCTGTGGGCAGTGTTTTATAATGCCCCAGCTCACCGCATCCATAGCAGGTCACCTTGATTGGTTCACTAGTCTCTCAACAAGTGAGGACCCTTGCAGTTATAACATTTGCCACTAAACGGTTTGATCACTCTTGGTCTTCCATCACGCTGTTTAGGTTCTCATTCTGTGATCGCTACCACTTCTGGTCTCCGTGTGGCTGTAAGCACCCTGGCAGTTGAGATTATTTCACAGAGTTCCAGTTTCTCCACATTTGGCAACTGCTGTAGCGGAACCGAAATACTTTCCGGGAACCCATTGACAAACGTGGGCTTCACAATCTGCTTTTGTCCACTTCCTTCAAAGCCTGCTACTTCTGCCAGTCTTTGTATTTTCGTTGTATAAACATCAACATCTTTGCTGGTCTGCAGCATCTTCACTAGCTTTGCTTATTCAGAAAAAACTCCATCCATAAAGGCTAATTTTAACTTAGCCTCTATTTTCTTTGCATCCCGCTGATCCTCTTTAGTCAACTGGAGATATAAGGCCAGGGCATCTCCTAAAAACAGGGACATAAAGCTCGCAAGGTTGGGGATTTTTTGCAGTCTCGCTACCAATTTCACTTTCGCCAACCAGGTCATCAAATCACCTTCGCCACTGAACATTTTCACCATATCGACAATTACTTTGCGATTCCCCTCCATATCATCACAGCGCTTATAACAGATATATACACTGAAATAGCTTGTAGATGTTGTATTGTCTGGTCATTTGTAGACTAACTTCACCTCGCCCAGTCTTTCGTATGCTGCATATTTATATTTTCTCAAATCTTGTGGCCACCGTGATTTTGCATTAATTTGTCAACATAAAAACAATATGGCTTCCCCATGAGATTCTTTTTACGTATGGACGTCCATGTGGTAAGTTTTTTTTTTTTTCCAAACTACAAGGCTTACAGAAATGTAAGATAGATTCTGGAGAGAAAAATTGTCTAGCACAACACAGTGAACAAACTTTCTTAGTAGCTGACCTAGCAATGGACTCAACGCAATCTTTCTACTTCATGTCAGCCAACAATATTAACCCAAGAAGAACTCTCCTGGAGGTTAGCATCAGCCATGCTGATGGAAGGCAGAAAGGAGTCTGTCAAATGATTAACAGTGAGCAGTTTAGTTTTAGAGGCATTAAAATTAACAAGTTATTCTTTGCGCCATTTAACAACAGACTGTAACTCTTTTGTAAGATAAGTCACCAATTTGACTTTATCAAACTGATCAGACCTAGTATCAAGACAGGAGTAAATGATTGAGTCATCAGCATAGATACCAAGTTGAGAGTTGATGTCACCAGGAAGGTCATTAATAAACATTTAAAAGATATAATTTACACAGCTTAAGTAAAGGATTACCACAAAAAGTACTTTTTTTTCTACTCTAAAGCTTACTTCATGTACACATCTAAAGACAATATTTTATTATTAATAAAATGAAGTACTGAAAATCTGGCAACTTTAATGCATTATTTGAAAGTGGACGGTTTCAGAATTTAAAATATAAAATTCATATTTCATATACATTTTCTCTCTCCTTGTGGCATAGAGGAGGAGTGGGTAGTGGTAGGGTGAACTCGACAAATACAAATTTATAACAAATCACTTCCAAAGACAAAATAAATAAGCTATTTTTTTTTTTTTTTTTTTTTTTTTTTTAATTCAAAAGTAACCTTGAGTTTTTCAAGTTGTCAGTAATAAAGTTTTAGGGAAAATAGAAACAGAAAAGACATACTTAGAATCAAAAAGAGTTAACTGACATTTTTAGGGTACATAATGAGGAAAGAAAGCTTGGAGAATTTGACACTTACAGCATATGTTGAAGATAAGAGAGACAAAAGAAAGTGGCTAATGAGCTTGTGCTATTGGTTGGCAAGACAGGGATAGCAAAAAGACAAACATTACTAAGCACTAAAAAGGTCAGGAAGTTGTGGAGAGACATGATCACCCATGTCTTGAAGAAACAAGGCACACACATTAAAATAAAAAAAATCAAACAGTATCTGATCATATTGCCCAAAACTGGTTTCAGTGATTTACCCCTTGAATTAAAAAGTTCAGAAACAAATGACCATCAATTGTTGATAATGTTGCATCAACCACAAGGTGGATAACCTGAATTACAGCATTTAACTTTCATAAGAATCAGGTTCATTGAAAGATAAAAAAAAAAAAAAAAAAAAAAAAAAACACTTAATTAAAAATAAAATTATTTTTTGATACATCAATATTTTTTGTATTTCATTTCAGAGGTGAGGAATTGTCAATATTCTTGTATTATTTTGAAGTGTGATTGATATTATAGACACATTTTGACCAAGTACCCTCTGGTCATCATTGATTGGCTGATATGGGATATCTCTAAATTATTGTGGTATTTTGTCCCTGTGTAATATCAGTTGTTGTTTGTTGGTGTTGAATTGGTGTGTCACTACCAGATCCAAGGATTGAACTCCTGACCACTAGTCATGGTCACCAGTTGAATTCTTGGATCTGGTAGTGACACACCAATTCAACACCAACAAACAACAACTGATATTACACAGGGACAAAATACCACAATAATTTAGAGATATCCCATATCAGCCAATCAATGGATACCTGATGATGACCAGAGGGTACTTAGTCGAAACATTGTGTCTATATCATCTATATCAAACAATACCAATATTTTTGTTGTGTTTTTTATTATTTAAATGAACATCAATCACTAAAGCAAGATTCCTACAATTTAGTTTGACATGGAGGTCGGTTTGACTAAAAATATTACAAATAAAATGCAACAAAAATAATAAAAAAAAAAAAAACTATCAAAATATTTGTAATGGTGAAAATACTTGTCAAAATTTTAAATCCTTCTTGAGAGTTAATTGTGAAAATTCCAGAAAGAAGACACACATCACAAATCAAAATGTAAATTCAGCCTTTTAATAATTCATTGGAAATCTTAACAGGAGAGAAAAAAAAAGTTCTGCAAAGAAGATTATTACCGTCTTCATTTGGTAGAACTTGCAGAGAGTAAATCCAATCAATGAATTTATCTTTGTTTTTGTCGATTTCTGACAAGGAATTTAACATGTCCAAACCGGATAAAGAAAAAAATCCAATGGTCAGTCTGAAATTTAAAAAGAAAAAAATCTTAATTATCAAAATAAAACCAAGACATAGTTTATTCTTGTTTTATTACTATATTCAGTATTACTTTGACTAACAAAGCTAATATAGCAGACATCAAAAAGAATAAACCCTTTTCCTGCCAATTATTTTGGGAAAAAAAAAATTTTTTTATTTTAAGGCAAAGCTGTTTTTAATATAGTAACTAAGAAACTGAGGCACCTTGAAGTACCCAAGTGGTGGCTAACATCTCTACCAGATTTACGACATCTCAACCCATTTCAAGATAGGAAGGGCATAAAAAGAATCACAATTGACATATAAACACATCTGTATCTGGTTTTCTGAACATTGTGTTTTGGACGGGCTTATTTATCTGTGTCTGAAAAAGACACCTTTAGTAAAAATGTATATACAAGCCTACACCAGCGAAGGGGTGTGGTCAAAAGAAATTAGCAACTTTGTTTTAAGACACAATTTCAGATTGAGTGTTTCTTCCCTCCACATCAGTTTCTTAGTATTTTTCATTGTTCACTTCCCTGTATTCACTCCGCTGTTCAATCCACCTGTCACAACTGTACGTACAGTACAATATACCCCGACAGAGACATCTTGCATCCCCGCGATGGTCTACTTATAATAGTGAATCACTCCCCCAGATGATAGACATGCTAGACATATGGGCACCTTGGAATGGAGGACTAACACACCAGGATATCCCTCCTCAATTCCATCCAAATATGCTAATATTATGTAAAGTTGCTAATGAACCAATTTCTTGTGGGACAACAAAGAAGGGTCTCTTTTGATAGCAAAAACATACTTGCCTTCTCTCAAATCAAAGTCCTATATCCCAGACAAAGACGAACTCTCTTTCATCAAGAATAAGGCACCATTTCTGCTATTTGACTCCAGTTCTGGTTCACTGTCTGCCACAAGGGGTTAATGTAGCGGAACTGAAAGGCAGCAGTCTGTGGGTTCTGCTGAACTGACTACAGTTCGCTGTTCTAAGAGGCAACGAGTGGCATGCATAATATGTAAGCAGAATGGTGGACGCTTACGCAAATGTAGCAACAGTCCCTGGCAAAATGAAATACTGGACAAATGAGGAAAGAAAAGAATAGCCTACCTTGGAAACGTCCACGAATCTGTGCGTAATGTAAAGTCCGGTTGTTCGACGGCAAAAAAAGAATCAAAATGGCAGTGCCCATGTTTTATGAGAGGTGGTCTCGGACAACTAACGCAAAATCTCGTTGGCTAGTGATACGTATGTAAATTATGGCCGGTCCTGTATAAAGTGAGCCATCTTTTGGGAGAGACAGAGGCATTCTTGTTGACGAGAAGCGAAGGCTGGGTGTGTGACCCAATTTTGCCGTCTTTACGTGGCCTGTTGGATTGTTAGGTCGGACAGTCATCGAACTGGATTTTGGCTACAAGTGTTGCGGTTGAGAGACGAATCTGTTGCAGACTTATTCCTACCGGAAATTGACACTCATTATTTGTTTTCTTTCGCTTTTTCTTTTCTTTACCAACACAGTTAAGGAGAGAGAACAATAAAAGAACAAGAATTAAGAAAACTGTTTGTTTCCCTAGAAAATCTGAACAGGCTTCTTTACTTGATTTATTTCTCATTTCCTCTCCTAGCTCTTGCCGATCTTTGCAACACTGTCCTCTTGGCAAATTTGATCACTCTGGAGTATCTATTCATATCTTGTTTAAATTATCTAGTAGACAGGAACCTCCTATTCATAAGACCTCTTTCTATTAGCAGCATGCTGATTAGGATTCACTCTGTGACTTTCTTTGAGACGCTCCTTGGACTGACATTTTCAACCTTATTCAGAATTGTGCCGCTGAGGTTTTGTCTTGGATCAAAGCCAGTATAGATGCCTTTGTACCTTCTCCGAAATACCAGGTGAAACCGCAATCTTCTCTATGGTTCACACCAGTATGTTCTGCCACCATAGCCCGCAGGAACCACTATTTCCAGCTATACCAACATAACAGTTCCAATCATAACAGACACCTATTTGTGGTGGCACATAAGTGCAAATGTGTCTTCAAAGGAGCTGTTTGCTGAGAGAATGAGGCACCATATTGCATCTAACAACTTTGGTTCTAGTGATTACTAGTGGCTCTGTAATAGTGTATTAAATAAGAGTAAGTTCTCTATTTCTCCTCTCTTCAATCAATTCGAGATGTTAACAACTTTTGCTGATAAAGCTAATTGCTTCCCCTGTAAATTCTCCTTAAACTCTACTCTTGACTCATCTGGCCTATCGTTACCTAGCTTTTCACTTAGAACCAAGACTGTTGTGTGATATGCATATAACCCCTACTATGGTTTCTGCTATAATCCCTAACCTGAATCCCTACAAGGCATGTGGACCTGATGGCATCCCTGTAATAGTCCTTAAGAAATGTCCTCCCAAACTGGCTCCCATTCTTTTTAAACTTTAAAAGTGCCTAGCTGCATCTTGCTTTTCTGCATGTTGGAAATCCTCATCTGTTGTTCCAGTTTGTAAGAACTTAGGTGAACCATCCAACCCTTCCAACTATCAGCCTATTAGGTTTCTACCTATTTTTGGCAAACTACTAAAGGCACTAATCAATACAGAATTGGATAAGAATTTCACATCACAGGGCCTTCTTTCAAACAAGCAATATGGCTTTTGTTTCTCTAGGTCAAATTTTTGAACTGATCCAGTCTTTCGATATCAAATCATGAAATGAGAGTTATCCTGAATGGCCACTTATCTAAATCCTTTCGTGCTAATGCAGGTATCCTCCCTCCAGGGCTCCATCCTTGGTCCTACTTTATTTTTAACTTTCATTAATGACATCAGCTCTAAACTTGGTATCTATGCTGATGACAATCATTTATTCCTGTGTCAATAGTAAGTCTGATCAGTCCAATACACTCAAATTGGTAGCTGATGTGAAAAACGACCTTCAATCTGTTAACTGGAGTAAAGGATGGCTTGTTAATTTTAACACCTATAAAACTAAACATTTATCAACCAAGAGACCCCTTTCTGCCTTCCATCAACATGGCTAATGCTAACCTCCAAGAGAGTGACACATTCTGTCTTCTCTGGCTAACATTCTCAGCTGATATAATTGAATCCATTGCTAGATCAACTGCTAAGAAAGTATCATCAAAACAATTTTTCTCGACAGAATCTATCTTACATATCTACAAGTCTATTATTTGCCCATACTTAGAATATTGCTGCCACATATGGTCCAATGTTCCTGCTATCTAGAGATCCTTGATAAAATCCCAAGAAGAATCAGCAATATTATTGGTCCTGATCTGGCATCTTGGATCCAGTCTCTTTTCCACTGCCGTAAAATTGCTTCCCTGTGCTTTTTCTATACTTTCATGCTAACTGATCAATTTGACCTCTTCACTATGGTGCTTACACTTTATAAATTAAAAAGTGAAGCACTAGAGTGGTGATGAGGTCTCACCAATTTACAGTTGAGTTTTGTTAGATGTAACCATAAGTTCTATGCTAATAGTCTCTTTTCTCGCACTTCTCACTTGTGGAATTCTTCCAGCTCCATGCTTTCCAGCTAACTTTAATCTGCAAAAATTTAAATGCAATGTCAATCACTATGCAGTTCTACTGATTACTCATCTTTTAATCTCACTCCTTAGTAAGGTTTCCATTTTCTAATTCTTCCGCACACAGTAACTCCTTGCATCTTAGTAGCTTTATCGTCATGCTTGGAGTAAATTCTATTAAGAAAAAAAAAAGCAAGAAGCAAAAAATGTAAGAAAAGAAACTGTTAGCGTAGAACTTATGCAGCTAACCTTTTCAACTGTAAAATGATGCCATCAATCTATTAATGTGCTTAAATTCATAAAGTCTATATACCATACAGTAAAAAACAATTACGATGAAAGTATTTATAGAAAAGGCACAGGAAACTACGTTCAGTGGTGGAAAGTGACTGAAGCAAAGATGCCAGGTCAGAACATATAATATTGCAGATTCTTTGTATTTTATCAAAAATTTCTAAATATATAGCAGAAGCACTGGACTAAATTTGACAACAATATTCAAAGCATGGATGAATGGCAAACTTATGTGTAAGATAGAGCCTGATAAGAAAAATTGTCCAGCACAACACATACTGAAAACAGACTACAATGTTGGTCACCAATTTTGTTGAACTATAATTTCAAGATGGAATTTCTATCATCAAAGAAATTTGGACATGCAAATGGTTTGTCTAGATTGATATCAATATCTAAAGAAGATTTTGAAGATACTGTGATTACTTTGCTGGAAATCGAAAGCAAAATTAAAAGCCTAGTGTGTAACACTTAAAGAATTTCTGGTCAAGATAGACTATATCAAAATTAATTCTAAAAAGCATGTTTATTCAAAAAACTATGAATGTCATTAACATTAAACCTGCTAACAAAAAATACAGCATTTTCTATTTGTGATGGAGTACTTTTGTATGTGAATAGAGTAGTAATTCCATTATCACTACAAAAAAGATTTTAAAACAATTCCATGTAGGACATCCAGGAATAGTGAGGATGAAATCTTTGATGAGAAGCTACATGTATTGGCTAAAGATATCCAAAATACGGTTAAAAAATGTAATGGTTGTAATTCAGCAACAAAATCACCACCTATAAATTATCAGGCATGGCCAAGCACTGATAAACTGTGAGCAAGACTACATATGAATTTTGCTAGACCACTAAATGTTTCATACTATTCAATTGTAGTTGAGAGTTTCACAAAATGGCCTGAGATATTGAAGTGTAAACAACCTACTATTGCAATAACAATTCTTGCCCAAACTTTTTGCAAGGTTTGGAGTACCTGACAGTGTGGCATTTGATAATGGAATAATTTACTTCTAGTGAGTTTCTATGCAAGTGAACATTTGACTATGCTGATTTATCATCCAAGATCAAATGGTCAAGCAGAACAGTTTGTGGACAGTTTTGTTGTCATATTTTTTATATATATATATATATATATATTAACTGTTTGAGTTTCAATTCTCGGTAGTGGATGCGCACTGCTGATGAGTCCCAAATATAGGATGAAATGGCCGTCCAATGCTTTCTGCATTCTGTTGAGGTTTCTTCTAGACTCAATAAATTACTTAATTATGATTATTTCAAATCTTCCTAATTATTTCTCTCTAATTCATGGATTATTTTTAATCTTATATTTTTATTACTTCAAACATTATTATAAAAAACGTGCAGACCGAGTTGTAGAACTACCACATGTTATTTTTGGACCATTTAGAAAATAACAAAAATAACTCTTTTCACCACTCCTGCAAATTCAAAAAGAATATTTTTGCAAGCCAGTGAGAAATTATTTTCTAACTAACGAAAACCTTGTATTCCAAAAGTTCATACCTCTATGTGAAATTAGATTTCGGATCGCCCTTACAGATATAAAAATTGAAGCATACTGTTTCTTTAAGTTCAAAACAATTTTGAAGGCCTGTTTGATCAACACATGCATACGCACACCCACAATGGAAGGGATGAGCCAGCAGCCACCAACTAAGGCCTTGTCTACAAACTCACAAACACATTAGGTTGACCATCATAAAGTAAGTGTCCACACATCTCACACTGTACTATAAACACTTAATTACTTGATAAAACAAACTTCACTGAAAGGGAAATTGAACATTTTATTGTTATTGCATATTTCTGAAAAGAATATATAAATGTTATTTCAACTGATGTTCTGCTTCTACTTTTCCTTCAGAGGATAATTTTTTTTATGTTTCGTTTAAAATGTAAGATGTGTTGCTGTTGTTAAATGTTTTGAATCCAGATGAAAACAAATGCCTGGGTAGAGAGATCCCAACAAATTAATAGCAGAGCAGACTGAACCCTATAGCCTTGGTTGATAACCAGTCTACCACAGAAAGTAACAGCAGTCTAGGAATTTTTCTGTCAAGTCAGTTATTAATGAAAAAAAGATATGACTGCCCAAGTAAGCATTACACATGGCACCTAAAAAACCTGTATAAAAGGTTTGAAGGAATTAAGTCAGTAGAAGGTAAAAAGGGATTAAATTTTGTGCATTAATTGTATATATTTAGCATTGTTTTAGTCAGAGATGGTTTATGTTTTTATATGATAAGACTCTTGTCATTTTTAAGGTTATAAAAAAAAAAAAAAACATCTGCATAACATATATGCAATAGAAATATTTAAAGACTTGGATATTTTTATACCATCAAAAATTTTAAATTTTTTGGTGGATTGTTCTTGACTACCATTTACCAGGCCTACAGAGGTAGATGAATTGAATAAAACAGTTGAACAAATGAAAAAAAAAAAAAAATTACAATAGTGATGTAATCTCATTATATTTTGACAGGTATACCTCTGGTCTTATTGAACTATTGTTACTACTTAATCCTAATTAGATTGAATATAATTGCTTGTTGAAGGCAGATCTAGCACAATGATTGGTGATGTTATCTTATTTAAACTATTACCTGTTATTCTTAGGTTTTCTTTGAATTCAATCTTTGTCACAGTATTTATCAGTACTGTGTGTTTATCAATTCCATTTAGTCAACTGTTTTATTCAAGTTGTTGTTTACCTTGAGTGCTGTAGGCCCAATAAACAGCAGTCAAACCTTCTGTCCTTTTTTTTTTATTCTAGAATTTTCATGTTAAGTTTTGTAATTTTTCACATGAGCCTAAATATTTGTTGCAAATTTTTTCTCCGTTATATATTGGCATGCCATGTAAGATAACGCCCAACTCATATTGCTTTCTTGAAATTTGGCTTCAACATCACAATTAAGGTTTTGATTAGTTGCCTCCCATGCATTCTGTCACCATAAAACCAGGAAATACAGTTTAAGAACTTAATGAAATTTGTCTATAGTTTGAAATCAGAATTAAAAGTACATGAAAACACTATAAGCACATCTTAGACAACAGACTGATGTGCAACTATTTTGCAGTTGCCACATGAATCCATCAAAATATAATGGTTGCATTGACAAAGCACTCTCAACAGATTTGAATTTAGCTTCCTAAAAGCTAAATGAAAAGTAAAAAAAAGAAAAAAAAGTAGCTATTTCAGTGTACATTCTTCTTGGGATCACAAGAACAAAGTGAATGAAAAGGAAACATTTCAAAAATATTTCGGAGGAAGGAAATTTAAATGAATTGTACTTAGAATGTGTACTTGTTTGTAGGACAAGGCATGGAAAAAGACTTGTGACAGTAAGATAAGAAAAAAGCCAGTAGAGAAGTGAGTAGTGTACTGAGTAATAGTAGATGTATAAATGTTTGCTCAAATAATTTTTTTACAACATACCATTAAGATGGATTCGAAACATGCAAAATCTTATTTTTATCTAGAATGGAGATAAAATAGTTCAAGAATAGTTTTTAAATTATAAAAGGCAAAAAAAAAAAAAAAAAGTTAATCTTCCATGTCTTGTAAACAGTTATAAAAATAAAAACTTTGATAAAATTAAAATGAGAAACAAAAGCATTTAAACAGAAGCATAATGAACAGATTTGAACTGGTTAAACCTGTAACAACAGTTGCCGTTCACATCATTGGACACAGGCCATTACTTGACTATATTTAATTTTGACTAATTGCTGATTGTGGTGTAAGTACATTGAAGGTGTCAACCATAAAAGTGAAGCAGGTGCTGTATTCAGACAAAAAAATTACAATCAAGGAAAAGAATGAAATAATCCCCTCATCTTAAGGTTTCCAAAATTTACTTAATTAAAGAGAAATTTTCTTTTTTACAATGATGTTCAACGTATACAAGGCCCAAGAGCCACTAAAGGTAGAGTTTAGTAAAAGATACAGTAAATGGGGATATGAGGCGAAGCAAAGTTTGTTTTTATATTTAATAATCAACCAAGCTAAATTCAAATATGTTGGGCAATGGGCATGCATTATTTAAATCAATGCAACCATCAAATTTGGTGAATTCATGGGGCAACTGCAATATGCTTGTGCATATAGAGATTGATGCATCTAAGAATATACTGCTGCACATTTCTCAACGTTACAAAAAGATAAATTGAAAAATGAAATAAAATTAATATTTAGAAATTAAACTCTTTTTTCAACTGTTTGAAATTCAATTGTTTGTTTTTAAATAACTTTCAGAATTGTTTTCAAATCACTTCCTTTATTGGTTATTTAGTAGTTATCTTGAGTAAGAAAAAATAATTAGTTCCGTCTAGAGCGCCTTTTTTCGGGTGAAAAACACAGATTTGGAAATTCTTTCAAAAATCTAATAATTGTCGGATTTTAATGAAACTTTCAGGACTTATTCACAAATGAATGAAATTATTTTTTAATATTTTTTTTTGTTTTTAGAAAATCTTGATATTTTTTTTTTTTTAAACATATGTTATCCTCGACTTAATTTCATGAAATTTCAAGAAATTAAATTTTCTCAACTGTGACGAACCGACGTAATGAAAGTTTCAATTTTTGTTTGAATCAATGGAGAACAAGTGAATATGACACTTTTTTTTTCTTTTTTGTGGCAGTGTACAAACCTAAACATTTTTTCGCCATGTAAAAATGAATGAAAAAAATCAACCTATAAACTGTAAAAAAAAATTAAGAATTATTCGAACAAACATTATTAAATTTATAAACATCTACTCAGACAACTAACTTCTCTACCGGCTTTTTTTTTTTCTATTGATTAAATATTGTCACAGTTCTTTTATCATGTATGTCCCACAAACAAGTACACGCCCTAACAATTTATTTAATTTTCCGGTCTCTGAAATAGTTTTTATTTTAAATATTTATTTTTCATTCACTGTTAATTTTTATTTTTACGCATTTCGTTTGCAAAAACGCCATTTTTTAAAATAATGCTTTTTAACAGTAATCATTTAAAATTAATTGGTCATTGCAACGTTCTTTTTAATTAGGATAAAAAAAAATACTTTGCATTTTTTCAAAATCACAGAAACAAAATTTGCTTTCATTAACAAATTTTGAAGCGAAAAAATTGTCTACAGTACGTTTAACGATAAAAAGTTTCACGATGATATAGTCATATCCCGTTTAAACTAAAAAGTTAACCGATTTTTACTAGTTTTTGTGTTTTCTATTAAGTGTCACAATTGTTCGCTACAACCTAAAAGAAAATGCTGTCAAAATGTTTAAAGTATTTATTTATCAACATGAGATGAAATAAAAAATTTTTAAAAAGTCATCACCAAAACAAGATGTCAACTGAAATACTTAAATGTGTTCACTTCGCTATTTGCTTGTTGTTTGTTAATACTGAAACGTTTAAAAATTAAACAGATTCTGCTATTTTTGGTAATAAAGACAATTCCATTATTTACAAGCACATGGCGGCTTCTTGGCTAAGAAGAGAAGCAAGTTGACATCGAAAAATTAGAGAGAAACTAAGTTTTTTTTTTAACCTTTTTGTCAATGTACATAAAAGATACATAAAAGCACATTTTTTTTCTGTTTTTAACTCAAATATTTCGGGTTTTTTTTAAGTTTTTTTTTTTAAATTCAAATTGATTCCCTCCTCTCTTCCTTTCATGATTTGAATTAGTTTTCGTTCTTTTTCTTTTCTCTCTGTGTAATAATATCACTTTACCTGTTAGTATCCGTCGAAGAATACGCTTCTGGAAGAACATCCAGGTTTCGTAAAAAGAATGTAATATGTTTTGGTCGCATAAAGTCATCGTTCCATTCTTTTGACTCTCTTCCGACGACAGTAGGCATCGTGTCTTTTTCGTAATTTTTTTCCTTTTTCTTTCTTTTCTGTAAATAATTAAAACATCAACTCTTACGGTGAACACAGAAATTATCTTTTACATAAAAGAGTTCCACTTGTCGACTTTGAGCAGAAATCAGGCTTCATTTTCAAGTTGGCTTTCTTCTTTTCTTTCTTTCTTTTTCTAAAATATTACGACTGATTCTTTTAATGGATCAGCTTTGATGTTAATAAATTAAAATCAACGCTAGAACTAAATTTCACCATCAAAGTTTATTCAATGCGAAAGTAAAGAAATTACATACACACATTTTCCATGTACATCATCAGAAATTCATCAGTAAAAAAAGGAAAATAAATTTAAAGAGTGCTGGCAAAAGGAAAAAAATACATAAGTCAAACAAAAATAATTTCTAGATCAAGGAAGAAGAAAAAATATTTTGTGATCATCAAATTAATAGATATTAAAGAAATTTATGTGGAAAAAATACTTTTAAAAAACTGGTTTAAAAGATTTTTTTATTCTCAATAAATTTATGTTCACTATTCTCACTAACGTTTTGCCATCTTTCAGGCAACTTCATAATTCCATCCTCTCCTGAAATTTTCATTTTTCTCGGCAAAGAACGGTTCTATAGGAATTTTCTATGCGAGGAATTTTCTTTCAATGAATTTTCTAACAAGGAATTGTCTACCAATGAATTGCCTCCCAATGAATTTTCTTCATTAACCAGTTAACTGTGGATGACAGGAATTGACATAATCGCAGTCATGTAGCATAATTGTAATTAATGAATTCTGTAAATAAGTTCTCAAATCAGTATCTACGCTGATGACACAACTATTTACTCCTGTCTTAATAGTAAGTCTGATCATCTCAATAAAGTCAAATACACACACACTAATGACAGAAATACTTTTCTTTCCTATAATAATTTTCTAATAATTTCTGCCAGACAAGGTGGATTAATTAACTTTAAAAGCAAAAAAGAGCAGTTTATAAAAACTGCTCTTTTTTGTTTTGAGCAGAATATACTATTTTCTTCTTTATGTGCCCTGTCCCTTCAGGATGTAGGCAAGCATGGCTTTCCACAATTTCCTGTCTTTGTAGCTCTTAATAAATTTAGTCTTTTTTATATTTCTCCTAAACCTTGTCCCACCATCCACTTACTCAAGCTCATCAAGTATGTTATGCACTGTTTTCCTCTGTCCCTCTTACCCTCAATCTGTCCTGTGAGTATCAGCTTCTCCAAGCCCTCCTTACTTATTATGTGCCCCAGAAATTTCAACTGTCTCTTTTTAATGGGATCCTTTTGGCTGGGATCCATTTGGACCATAACTTGTATGCCACATTAAACTGATCTTTCGTCACCTTCTACTGCTAGGGGAAGGTGAGCATTTTTGGCTTTGGCGTTTGTTAGAGAGTGATTTATTTTCCTGACTGGTTACACGCATTGTGATTCGAGATAGTACCGGCGAATCGAGTTTTCAGCATTTCTTTCTGCCCCCGATATTCGAGTCTGTACTTACGGTGATTTTTCTTTGTGTTGTGGAAGTAATCTGCGACAAATACTTCCTTTGCTTTCAGAACGCTTACACTTACAATTTCCTTTTCCATCAGGATCTTCATCCTTTGCCATGCTTTTGCTTTCAGACAAATCACAGAAAAATAATGAGTGTATCCTAGTCCCATGATTTCCAACACTGTGGCAACACCCCTCTCCCATTACACTAAAGGGGAAAGATCAGAGTGTCCTGATATCTGCTTTATAAAGATTGTGGGGACAATTTTCATTCTTCAGCCATATGTATATATATGAGCATGCCATATTAAAGCAACCTTGTGTCACATCCCCCCAAACTATCCAGTCCCCACAAATGCTGTCATGCCAATATATCCGCCAACCCTCTCTCTTCAGTGCATCAAGAGATGTGCTACCCTCATTGCTTAGAGAGAACAAGATCAAAGTTCCTTCAGTATTTACCTTATTTTCAAACCCATGAAGGCAGGATGTGACATGTGGTCAGTTTAGTAAGGAATGTCCATACACACATATAGGGGTTTCATATGTATACATATAGGACAAGAACAAAATATGTTCAGTTTTCATGACAATGGCCACATTGGTGTCTGTATTCACTCACCTTCTCTCTTTAGTGCAGGGACTAGTCAGGTTCCTTACATTCACAATCATGTTCATGATCACAAATCCCATTTGCCCATTAGGATTGTAAGAGGCATCACACATACTGTAGCAGCAACATAGTTTGACAGAACCCAACCCTATCCAGGCTGGTTTGAATTCAGAGTTTTCATTCTTCTAGAATGGTTGCCAACCAAGGTTATAGGACCCAGTCTGTCCTACTATTTACCCATAGATGGAGAGAGAAGAGATGGATCCACACTTTTCCCAAGGGCATGTAATTGAATGTAACAAGTTCAAATCAAACTTGGCTTTCCAATTTCTCAATCTGTGCTGTTATCCATGACACCATTGTGCATCAGTATTTAAATTCACTTAAATATAAATACTTTTGTAAAAATATGACTATCTCCTTCCCCCAGATGTGGGTTAAATAGTATAACTTTTATCTGGGAAAATAATTGTTATTCTCAAAAATTGTTAATGCAATATTCACTCAGAAAAAAATGTTTCTTACAATCCATTATATGTTTTGGCTTTAAATAACCCACAAAGGGTTGATAAGCTGTAAATATCAAATCCATTAACAAGTTAGTGCTGGGAGAGACATGTAATCCTCAGGATTAGGCTTTGTTCATTACTTAGAGAAGAGATCAGTGCTCCTTTTGGTATTTACATTACAATAAGCATATCTTTGTCCAAGAGAAAAACTGGCTTACAGCCACATCAGGCTGAATCACTAGTTCCCGTATGATCACCAAAGTTAAGCAACATCAAGCCTGGTTATACCTCAATAGGTGACCACTTGAGAATACCAGGTGCTGTAAGCTTGGATGTGCAGGTGGTGTAATGAATAATAGCTCGGAATTATTAATCAGAGGTCCAAGTTACAATTCCAGTTGGGTTTGTTATATTCACTTACATGCAAATACCCTTAGGAAAGGTATGAGTCTACCTCTTCTGCCTCCAGCTATGGGTTTATTATTAAGATGTATCACTAAACTCTTATTATCTACCCCCCACTCAAAAAAATTCTTACAATCTAAAAATATTTTTTGCCTTTAAATAGCATGCAAAGGGTTGATAAGCCATAAAAAATGAATTACCCAATTCTCATGGCCATGGCTGTGGATTTTCACTTGTCTGATAGTTTCTTCTCCTTTTTTGATATTTATCTTCCTTTTATTTTTGTTTCATTCTTTTGTTGATTAGTTAATTTTGTTTAGCGGCATATCAACACCTCTATAGGTTATTCAATGCCAAAATCTAAATATATTTTGAACACAATTTTATGGCTTCAACTAAATATATTTTGAGTGCAATTGTATGCCTTCAACTACAGATAAAATGTATTGTTGGTCATTTTGTTATAAAATGTATTGTTGGTCATTCTTACTATATATACATATTGTTGGTAATTTTTTTTATATAAAAATGTATTGCTGGTATTTTTACTATAAAAACATTTTTATAGTGTTTTGTTTCTATTTGGGAGATCCACTATTTGCCCACAGCTGGGACCCTACAGGTGCCACTACTCTGAGTTAGGGAGCAACAGCAATTAAGAGGTGGTTCCACGCTTCTCAAAACCTCCAATCTCTCAATCATAGGCTTTGCTGCCAGATGTAGTTTATCATCATACCCAGGACTAGTTTCTTGATTTGTGTTTTCAATTTTGCCTCAATTTTTCATTAGTTCTTGCATTGATTTTGAGTATTTCTCATTGTTACTGCAATATCCATTTATTTTGATTATTATTATTATTTTTACTGAATGTTCACCCAATACAAGGCCCAAGGGCTCCTCAAGGTAGAGGCTTACTAAATGACAAAAGAAGAGGAAGTAGGTGTAGATTAGGTGCAGATGACCCTAGACTTAAAGAGGTTAAGATTGTAGTGTTTGGTGATTGATTTGTTTTTTATGGCTTATCAACCTTTTGTGGGTTATTTAAAGCCAAAACATATTTTTTGGATTGTAACAATAATTCTTTTTTTGCAAGTGAGTATTGTAGTAACAATTTTTGGAGAATAAGAATGATTTTTCCGGATACAAGTCCTACAATTCAACCCATAGCTGAGGGGAAGAAATGGATTCATACTTTTCCCAAGAGTATTTGTGCATAAGTGAATATAATGAAATGAATTCCAACTTAACACTTCAATTTCTCAGTCCGAGCAGCTATCCATTAGATCATGTAATATTTGTGGAAGCATCCTCTCAGGAGTCTGTTCCATAAAGTTACTGCTCTTAGGAAGAAGCTGTCTGAATAGAACTGCCTTCTTAAGAATGGAATATGAAGAGAATGAGGGTGGTTTTCTGCTGTGTATATGGCATGGTTGCATGGGTGCATGGCCAACTGGTTAGAATATTCACTTTCTAACCATGAGACCCAGGAATCTCACCATTGTCGATTTATCAGGAAAGTAACTTCTTAATGTTATCTGGAGAAGGCGAACCCAGTATGCAGTACCTTTGGAAAGTGCCTGAAAACCATACCACGGGTTGATCCGTGTTTGTCCAGTCCATATTCCTATTAGCACGGAATATAACACTAATAATAATAAAATGGAGGATATTATGATATTACTACTTGTTTATTAATGTCTGTAGACTGAGAGTTCTGCATTCAATTACTTCACTAGCTTCAGCCATTTAAATCACAAATACCACTTCATAGATTGTATCAATGAAAGACTATTTCTTTTTCTTATTTATTTTATCATACAAGATGGACAGACATGGTAGCATCAATTCTAGGTGGTAGTGGGAGGAAAAAGTTCAGGTGACCACATACCTGCTTGTTGTGCTTAGCATTCTGCCTCATGCAGCATAGCCTCTCTGAGGAATCTGAATGCAGAGAGCATGACAAATTTAAAATTCTTGTGGCTCTCTGCCGACTTTGTGCTGTTTTGGTCTTATATTATTGGATAGATGGAACCCTTTGGAAGGTGTTGGCGATTGTACTAGCATGAAGTTACAAATCATCGGGACTGAGAGTTTAAGCGTGCTCGCCTTCTTCAGACTGCTGATCACACTAGATAAAGCGCTCTCTCCAAGAAACTGTAACTACTGTCTGCTCAGCGTAGTTGCAGTATAAACCACAGGTTGGCTCAGTGAGTATTGAAGAAACACAAATGTGCCTGACCAGGCGTCTGCAGTGGGGATTAGCTAGCCACCCTAGTAGACAAGCATCCTCGGATTCAAGTGGCTGCACCATTTATGGTGAGTCTCAGATGTAAATGTCTGGAATTGGGGAATGTAGGTTGCTGGAACATTTTCTATGGAAATAAGGATAAAGTAGCAAGAGGCTTGTGACGTTGCATCTCTGGAAGAGTGGTTGTAGGATAGAAAGCAATTCATCACCTAAATGCTGCTTTTCCGCTGCTTTTTTTCTTTTCATTGTAGGTGTTAGTTTTAGCTGAAGACCACAGATTTGGCCAATTAATGATGGAAGCAAACATCATTTGCCAACATAGTATGTATTATCAAAAGTCTCCGTAAAGAAGAGAATCTCTTACAGCTGATCTAATTTATTAGTTATGCAGGTGGTGTAGTGGTTAGTGCAGAGAGGTCAAACTACATCCTACAAGCTGCATGCAGCCGCCTGTTGATTTTATGTGACTCACAAACGTACAACAAACCATTTTTTTAAAAATTTATTAAAAAAATATTTATGTGGTTACATGTTGCACAAAATAGTAAACAAAGACAGAAATTATATATATTTAATAGTTATTCTATTTTCATTAACAAAATAAAAATGTCAGATTTGAATACACAATTTGTCTTTTTGCCCTATTTACATTGTTTGGACTATTGTTCTCATCTTTTGTGTCATATCCATGACGTTTCGACCAATGTACAATCTAACCTTCTTCAGGTAATATTTGTTGGAATTTTGAACTGAAACATTTATTTACTCCTTAAGGTTGATTTTCTAATTCCACATGGCATGTTTTTTCTGGGTACCCATTTTCCGTTAATTCCCTTTAGTAATTCAATTCTCCAAGTTTTTTTTTCTTGTTCATCTCTGCTGTGGCGAGGTATTGAACAAACAATCTTTGGGTCAAGTAACTTTTGGATTTCTTCAACTAATCCTTTTATCCACTGCGCTATCTGTCTTGCATATATCAACGAGTAAACTGAGTTCTATTATCCCAATCTTTGTTGTTGTTATAACAATGTTTCAACCTTTGTCCCCTCCGCTCTTCATCAGGTGCTGGTTACCTTCAAGAAATTTCAAACTGAATCTACAGGGTAGATAGTTCTTGTTACGCTGTCCATGTCAAGAGATATCTTGTCTAATTCTTATTTATTACTGCTCAGTTATCACTCAACCCATTTCTATTGCATCCAAGTACACACTGCCTGACAATTCTGATTATGAAAGATTTTCTCAGCTGAATAAATCTCATTAGTGATAACAAATACATAAAATAGGAAACAAATGTTTCCTACATTTGTGCAACCTGTTCACAAAATGTGTCTAATAAGCAAATAAATTTCAAAGTCATTGTAAAACTCGTGTTTTTATTGAGATGCAGCCCACTTTGCCCAGAGCCGAAAATCATATGGTCCTCTCATGAAAAAGTTCATCCAACCCCAGGTTAGTGGCTCAGAATGAGAAATCAGCAAGACAAGTTCAAATTCTAGTCACGTTTGTTACATTTCACTTTTAGTCTTAGGAAAAATATAAATATATTCTTTCTCCCCTCCCCCAGCTATGGGTTAAATAGATGAGAGGATTGGGTTCTTCAGCCTTGGTTGATAGCTCAAATTTAAGTCAAGTTTGTTACATTTCACTTTTGCACTAATACCCTTACGAAAGGTATAAATCCATTCTTTCTCCCCCAGCTATGGATTAAATAGAAGAGAAGATTGGGTTCTTCTGCCTTGGTTGATAGTTCAAATTTAAGTCAAGTTTATTACATTTCACTTTCATGCTAATACATTTGGGAAAGGTATGAATCCATTACTTTTCCCTCCACCTATGGGTTAAATAGAAGGGTAGATTGGGTTCTTCAGCCTTGGTTGAAAAAAATTCAAATTACAGTCATTTGTTACATTTCATTTTCACACAAATACCCTTGGAAAAGGTGTGACTCCATTCCTTCTTTAACCAGGTTAAATAGAAGAACAGATCTGGTTCTCCAGCCTTGGTTGGCAACCAGTCTAAGAAAAGAACAACTCTGAATTCAAAACTATTTAGGCATGAGACTAGCAACCACATCCCATAAAAATAACTCATGTGCTATAGAGACCATGGCATCAATGCCTAACATGTTCAGAGCTGTCACTCTCTATGCCTCAGTTGAGTCTATATAGCTTGAACAAGGGATCTAATTTATTATAAGGGAATGGAGAACAACAAGTTTAGTGAAGGGGAATTTTAAGTTTTGTGATAAAAAGTAATAATAAAACTATGAAAAATGTAGTAAATTTCAAGAGAATATAAAATAAAATAGTTTAGATAGTAATTATATTATGTAAAAGATACACTCAAGTAATTTAAATGTATGCACCAACTTAAAAAAACAATCAAAAGATTCTCAAAAAGAAAGCATGTTCTAGCCAGATCAGAGAGGATAGTGATTACTTCTTGCTGTTGGTACCATGTAACCCAATAAAACCTGTCACATATTACTTGAAGAAGAGCTGGGTATCACCAACTTATTACTATTGCTTTAAAAATGCCATAAATGACAATTACACATCATGGCACAATGACAATCACATGGGTTTTGGTTGGAACTGGAAACTTTGTTACTATCTTAATATAGTTGAATCATGTGAGTATTAGAATGTGTATGTCTTAGTTAAAATTATCT